TTGATATTGAGCTGTATGAGCTATTTGTGTATTTTGGAAATTAAGCCCTTGTCAGTCACATTGTTTGCAGATATTTTCTCCCATTCCACAGGTTGTCTTTTCATTTTGTTTATGGTTTCGTTTGCTGTGCAAAAGCTTTTGAGTTTAATTAGGTCCCATTTTTAAATTTTTGTTTTTGTTTCCATTACTCTGGGAGACAGATCCAAAAATATATTGCTCTGATTTATGTCAAAGAGTGTCCTGCCTATGTTTTCCTCTAGGAGTTTTATAGTATCTGGTCTTATATTTAGGTCTTTAATCCATTTTGAGTTTATTTTTGTGTATGGTGTTAGAGAATGTTCTAATTTCATTCTTTTACAGGTAGCTGTCTACTTTCCCCAGCACCACTTATTGAAGAGACTGTCTTTTCTCCACTGTATATTATTGCCTCCTTTGTTGTAGATTAATTGACCATAAGTGCATGGGTTTATTTCTGGGCTCTCTATCCTGTTCCATTGATCTATGTGTCTCTTTTTGTGCCAGTACCATACTGTTTTGATGAATGTAGCTTTGTGGTATAGTCTGAAGTGAGGACTTGTGATTCCTCCAGCTCCATTCTTTTTTTTAAACACATTTATTTATTTATTTTTGGCTGCATTGGGTCTTTGTTGCTGCACGCGGGCTTTCTCTAGCTGCGGCGAGTGGGGGCTACTCTTCATTGCAGTGCATGAGCTTCTCATTGCGGTGGCTTCTCTTGTTGCAGAGCACAGGCTCTAGGTGCACGGTCTCAGTAGTTGTGGCACGAGGGCTCAGTAGCTGTGGCTCACGGGCTCTAGAGCGCAAGCTCAGTAGTCATGGCGCACAGGCTTAGTTGCTCCACAGCATATGGGATCTTCCCGGACCAGGGCTCGAATCCATGTCCCCTTCATTGGCAGGCAGATTCTTAACCACTGTGCCACCAGGAAAGCCCTACAGCTCCATTCTTCTTTCTCAAGATTGTTCTGGCTCTTCGGGGTCTTTGTTTCAATACAAATTAAAAAAAAATTTTGTTCTAGTTCTGTGAAAAATCCATTGGTAATTTGATAGGGATTGCATTGAATTTGTAGATTGCCTTGGGTAGTGTAGTCATTTTAACAGTATTGATTCTTCCAGTGCAAGAACATGGTATGCATTTCCATTTGTTTGTGTCGTCTTCCGTTTTCTTTCATCAGTGTCTTATAGTTTTCTGAGTACACGTCTTTTGCCTCCTTAGGTAGGTTTATTCCTAGGTATTTTATTCTTTTTGATGTGATGGTAAATGGGATTGTTTCCTTAATTTCTCTTTCTGATACTTCTTTGTTAGTGTATAGATATGCAACAGATTTCTTCATATTTTGTATCCTGCTACTTTACTGAATTCACTAATGTGCTCTAATAGTTTTCTGGTGGCAGCTTTAGGATTTTCTATGTATAGTATCATGTCATCTGCAAACAGTGGCAGTTTTACTTCTTCCTTTCCAATTTGGATTTCTTTTATTTCTTTTTGTTGTCTGATTGCTATGGCTAGGACTTCCAAAACTATGTTGAATAAAAGTGGTGAGAGTGGGCATCCTTGTCTTGTTCCTGATCTTAGAGGAAATGCTTTCAGCTTTTCACCATCGAGTATGATGTTAGCTGTGCGTTTGTCTTATATGAGCTTTATTACATTGAGGTATGTTCCTTCTAGGCAGAGACAACTACTTTTGACTCTTTTAACCTGTTTCTTCTGATATCTAATGTCTTATCTTAAAATCAGTGTCTGTTCTACTTTTTCTTATACATCTTCTTCTGATGTATCAGTTCTAAGTATCTTCTCACTTAAGAGCATGGGCTGTGATGTCCGTCTCCTGGGCCTAAAGGTAGACTTAGTGGGCCTACATTTCTCATTTCTGTCCACTTCTAGCCTCTGTGACTATGGGTATTTTGCTTTTCAGAGCCTCAGTTTCCCTTATCTGTGAAATGGAATAATCTCTGCCTCAGAGGTGTGCTCTGTGGATGAAACGAGGAATGTTATATAAACATCTGTTCCTAGCACAACTCGTGGCACATTGTAGGTGCTCAGATATTCCCTCATATTTCCTTTTGTGTCTCTAGAATCTGGCACCCGTTTTATTTTTATTTATTTATTTATTTATTTATTTTGCAGTATGCGGGCCTCTCACTGTTGTGGCCTCTCCCACTGCGGAGCACAGGCTCCGGACGTGCAGGCTCAGTGGCCATGGCTCACGGGCCTAGCCGCTCCATGGCATGTGGGATCTTCCCGGACCGGGGTACGAACCTGTGTCCTCTGCATTGGCAGGTGGACTCTCAACCACTGCGCCACCAGGGAAGCCCCCGTTTTATTTTTGAAGCTCTTAAGTATTCTTGAAAGTCACCTTCTGGATATCATTCATTGGGTGACTGCAGTTGGGGAGTCTTTATGGGGCAGTTAGTTGTGGTCTCTGTTCTAGTTTGACACTGAATCTCAGAGTGATGAAATCTTTAGGGTTCATTTTATACTTCTCCCCTTGGAGAAAGTTGGTACTTCTAGTTCCTTATTCAACCTCTTATAAGGGGATCTAAGAATTGTTTATTTTGCATTGAGTTGCATGTTTCAGGCTTTATTTGGGAGGAAAGAGAGTAGAGGCAACGAGCCTTTTACCTTTTACCTTTTTACCTCCTCAGTTCAGCTTTAGTTGAGGAGCGAGGCAGGAGTCAGACTGATGGTGGCCTGAATATCAGCTGTGGTACCAGTAGAGCTGATTGGAGCACGTGTCTAAGATTTGTGACCAGAGGGCTTTAGACACTCATCTTTCCAGTCACAGGCAGGTGTGGACAACTCAGGCTTCCCACAGGAGTAGGAAGAGAAAATTTGCCATTGAGGCCAGACTTCTCCAAAAATGACCCACCATGCGGCTGAGTGTTCAGGCCTTATTGATAAGATGTGTTTGTCTCTTCCAAGGGAAGGAAGACCCTTGTCGGTGAGGGACTGGAGCCATGGGCCAGGCACCCTCCCTCCACACATGTCCCTCCTGAGCAGTAGAAGCTTCCTCCCTCTGAGGGGAGCCAGAGGCAGAGGCATGTGAGGTCAGCTTCCCAGGAGAAGCTCATGACCACTGGTATCCCAGCCGTGGTACAGTTTGCTGTGGTTCAAGCCTCCCGACAGGAGTTAAATTTGATGTTCCATCAAAATGGAATGATCTTAAAAATCCTTCTTTGAGGGCAACACCTGCTTACCATGTGAGACTTATTAAAGATTTGGACTATGTGCTCTCTGTGTATGTTTCTTTTGCAGGTTTTGTATTTTTAATACATTCTTAGCAGGGTCAGAAAATCCATGTCATGGTTTGCCAGGCAGTGATTTTGATGTTTTAATGTAATTTAATGTGTTATAATACTGTGTTCCAGTTCCTTGGAGGAAATACAAAGAGCAGTTGTGAGCCAAGAGTGGTTTGTTGTTCTTAACGTGCTGTTATACCTTCTTTATTTTAAAAAGTTCAAAGTATGCTGAAGGTGATGCCATAATAGGCTGCTCTCCTGTCTCTACCTAATTTGATTTATAAGAAGCTACAGAAAAAAGGCATTTTACTTGTTTATATACTTCCAATAACCTGAACTGTTAACCCACAGAGATCAGAAATGGTTTTATCTTAAGTGATAATTTCTCCTTTCTGTTGGAGCTGAATACTACCTGGTTACATTTAACTTTTCCTACCATATTGGCAAGGTTGTTATTAAGTGTTCTGGAAATAAAAGGAATGAAAAGAATGCATTCATTTTGGTGGCTTAAAACCTTTTCTTAAAGGTAGCAAAGTTATTTTTAGTTTGGTTATTAAGTGATAAAATAATAAATATAAAATGCATTTATTGCTTTTTGTAGTTTTCTCTACTTGGTTTTACATTCTTTCCGTTAAGGAAAAGATGACAGTGGCATTTATTTTAAAAAATAAAACAAAATAGGGGCTTCTCTAGTGGCACAGCGGTTAAGAATCAGCCTGCCAATGCAGGGGACACGGGTTCAAGCCTTGGTCCGGGAAGATCCCACACGCCGTGGAGCAACTAAGCCCGTGTGCCACTACTACTGAGCCTGCACTCTAGGGCCCAGGAGCCACAACTACTGAGCCCACGTGCCTCAACTACTGAAGCCCACACGCCTAGAGCCCATGCTCCTCAACAAGAGAAGCCACCACAATGAGAAGCACACGCACCGCAACGAAGAGTAGCCCCCGCTCACCGCGACTAGAGAAAGCCTGCGCGCAGCAAGGAAGACCCAATGCAGTCAAATAAATAAATTTTAGAAAAAGTATTAAAAAAATAAAACAAAATAAATGACAATGTTGATTCTTAATGTTCAAAATGCATATTCCTTTTCTTCTTTGGGGGTATGGATGATGAATGGAAGCCTTTTAACTAGCAGGGTATATGTAGAATTTACCTTATATTTAGAATTTGAACACTTAAAACGTGGCACTTTTTTTTCTTTGTTTTTTTTTCTTTTTTTCTTTTTGCGGTACGCGGGCCTCTCACTGTTGTGGCCTCTTCCGTGGCGGAGCACAGGCTCTGGACGCGCGGGCTCAGCGGCCATGGCTCACGGGCCCAGCCGCTCCGCGGCATGTGGGATCTTCCCGGACCAGGGCACGAACCCGTGTCCCCTGCATTGGCAGGTGGACTCTCAACCACTGCGCCACCAGGGAAGCCCATGGCACTTTTCTAACTACTCTCATTATTTTTTATCCCAGTTTAGATTCACACCATTCCACCTTTCTAATTTATTCCTAATCTTAACCTGATATAAATATTTTCCTGCCTTATCATGAATTGGGTGACTGTCTTTAGATTGTTCAGTTAAATTGTACCCAGGGGCACCAAGGTTTGTTTGTCTTAGGTTGCCCCATCCCTGTAAACTCTAATTCTTTTGCTAATTCTTCCCTGAAAAGCAGACATTGTAGCAATTTGTGTATGAAATCATAATTTTTGGGTGGAATTTTTGTCTACCATGCTGACTTTCCCTCCTGCTGTTTCAGCTCCTTATGAAGCTAGACAGCCCCTTGTCCAGCCTGAGGGACCTTCGTTGGGGGGCCCAGGAGCCAAACCCCTTCGGCATCAGGCTTCCCTTATCCGGGTAAGTGACGCCGCTGTGGGGTTATGCCAGTGGGAGACTTAGGGGGTATGGCTTCTTGATGGCCCTGTTTTTGTTTGTTTGTTTGTTTTGTTTTTGTAAGCAGAACATAAAACTGCCCCCTAATGCAAATATTGTACTTCTGGTTCTGTTGCTTGTGTATTTTCCTAAATTGTTTCTACTGTGTGTGTTTCTCCCCTTCTCAGTGTCTCTAGGCTAATCCGGGCTGGTTCTTAATCTTTGGTATGTCTAAAATGCCCTTCCACGTTTATCTGCTTAATCAGTAGGCACCTCCTTCAGGAGGCCTCTACTTTTTCCAAAATAGCCTATCTTATCTCTGCCTTATTCTTTAATATTACTTATTCAGGGCATAGTTCGCTATTGCCCATTTTGTTTTGTGCCTCCAGTTATACTGTAAGCTTTGGAAGGCAGAGGTGGTTCTCCTGTATTTTCTCTCAGTGCCTACTTCAGTGCTGTTTGGAAAACAGTTATTTTATAAGTGGCAGCAACTAGTTTCCTGTTTGTAATCGATACCATATGGCAGAAGCACAAGTGATCTCCCAGTTTCTCCTGGCTACACCACAACTTAGCAAATTTCAGCTTCCCTTTCTCCAGTGTTTCCTTTGGATAAAGAGCTCTTATTTTTTCCCATGTCTGCAACTGTTATCTTGTGTAGTATTTCTGAGTCCTGTGCTGGTGAAGTCATAGTCCCATAAAAGGGTGTATGTGTATGTCAGCATGAGAAAAACCCTGAGAAAACTGGATTGGCTGTTTGATTCTAAAGACAAGAGGAAGTAGGGTGGTTTGTATAACATTTCAGTTGTCCAGCTTAGGAAGAAGGATCATTTATGCTCAGGGATTTCTCACAATAGACGGGTGATGTCAGATAGTCCCATAAAGAAGTGGGCTGGTATTCTAGAAGAGAATAAACAAGGCAGAGGGAGATTGAGGTGTTCACTTCATAGCCTCTGGGAATGGGGCTCTGTGTTAGGCGTGGTACAGAACTTAACTTCTGAGGTAGAACTCTGTGTACAAAGAATTTTCTTAAAGGTGGTAGATAATTCAGCCATATGCTGTGTATTTGTGTATAATTCTTCCTCCAACTATCAGATCTAGGTATTGTTGTATCTCTTAGTATAGATGAGGTAACTGGCCGAGAGAGGTCAAGTCATGGGTCTAAGGTTTCATTCATAACTAGTAAGTGGCAGAGCCACAATTCGAGCCAGGCCTGCCCAATGTCAAAACCTGCTCTTTCAAATACTTTCCTATATACATTAGAGTCCCATGTTACAAGGATGCTAGGTTCTAGAGTTGCTGTATAAATAAACATAGGGTGTAGTAAAAATATTCCTGAAAATTCCTTATTGGTACCTAGGTCCAGTAGAGCTCAGTTTTACCCCCAAGTTGGAACAGACAGTTGTTTCTTCAGCTGAGCCGCAGATGGAGTAGTTGGCTGCATTTAGAGGTTCTGTGGTACAAAAATACATGTTTTTAAACATGATAGTCACACCCACCGTGGAGTGATGGTTACATTAGGAAAGGTATCGGAGGGACTGGGATTCATGTAAAAAATCTGTGAGGTGTGGCCATGCATGTTTCTACAGAGTCTGTTCTAGTGCTGTGGAGACCACATCCTGAACTGTTAGAAGGACGGTCAAACAAGCAGTAAATCCCGAACCTCGCCATGGTTGGATGGGGCTCACTGGGCCCTTTCTGCGTAGCCACCTGGCTGAGATGGACATGGGCTCTCACTTGGACTGGTGTCCTGGGACTTCTCTTCTAATCTCTAGGTCCGTTTTTCTGCTGGTAAATGTGCTTCTTGAGCGCTTCAAGCAACTAATGTTTACTAAATACCTATTAAGTGCCAGGTATTGTGTTGAGAATACAAAAATGAGGTATAACACATCCAGTCCCTGCCCTCATGGAGCTTATAGACTATTGGAGGAGATGGCCATTGATCAGACCATCACAAAGTAAATATATAATTATGATATGTGGTGAGTGGAAATGACAGTGTGCTTTGAGGATGAAAAATGGTGGCGGGAAGTTAGGTCCTGGCCTTGGCAGGCAGGGGCTGATCAAGGAAGGCTTGCAGAGGGGAGTCACACTCGAGTTGAAAGGGAAAGGGTTGAACCATGTTAACCAGGTGGGGGGTGGGGCAGGGGAGAGCAGGCAAGAGGATAGAGGGAGCTGTGCATACAAAGATGTTTTCTATGAGCTTAGCACTTTATACACACCTCTCTTGCAGTGCTCAGAGCTGTCTTATGAGGTAATTCCTGTCATTATCCCATTTTTCAGATGACAAAACCTGAAGTATAAAGACCTTACTTAGTTTGCCTACGGTCACAGCTAGGAACTGGTAGGGCTAGAGTTCAAACACTGGACACGATTTCCTGGCCTTTGTCTCAGGAACCGCATGGATAGTGATGTCATCTGTTAAGCCTAGAAGCCCTGAATGAAAAGCTAGTGTTGGGAGTATTGAGGCAAGATCATGAGATCGGTGTTGCATATTGGAATTTGAGCTTTAGAGACAGCCAAGAGGACGTGTCAAGGAGTTGGTAGGATATATGGGGCTGGAGCTCTGGGGAGAGCTGGGGCTGGATAGAAGTATTTGGCAGCCATTGGCCATTAGAAGGACTCATGGGATTGTGCAGAAAGCCAGACACGTTCTCATCCAGGTCCAGGCAGACTCTGCATGCCCTTGGGCAAGTTTCTTCTCTTTTCGGTAACACGAATGAGCTGGAATGGATTTAACAGACCATTGTAATACTCTGCAGCAGTCTGATTCCCTTAATGTTTGTTTGGTGTCAGTGTAGGTCCCCCCTCCTGTTTGGAGCATTGCCTTCTGTTTAAGATGAGAGCAAGGGGCCTTTTTCGAGACAGCAGTCTGTGGTTTTAATGGCTGATGTGTTTTTCTTTCTTCAGTTCTTAGGTTTCCTTCTTACTCCTTTCAACTTGGTTTGGCTGAACTCCATGTCCCAGACAGCAAAATGCCAACCTGAGTTAGCCATGTAGATGAGAGGATGTAAAGTGGGAGATTTCGGTGGTAGGGGATTAATAGGGATTGGGTGTGATGCTAGGCTGGGCCGGGGTCACTCATTCCCCATATTGCCATGCGCATGGGCTGATGGCAGCCTCGCTCTCTCCTAGCTTCCTCTGTGGCCTTGTATTCAAGTCCTTCCTGCCTGACTGGAAGAAGGGTGGCCTCTGGGAATGGGGGAAGGCTTTTAGGGACTCTGGGTCAGCAGTGTTGCAGCTCATGGGCTTGGCATTTCAGAGGTGCTTATGTGGAATTCAGTCCCAGCCATTGGAATGAACAGTCTTAATATTTTCGGAATTTTGATTTTTTTTTCAGGTGTTGGATGTTTTTCCCCTTGAAATTTCTGGTACTGAGCACATCCTATGTTGGTGGGTGGTTGACAGTGGTGTGTAAAGAAATGGTAAATATTCTTTCCTGTTTCTCTGTCGTGGTGTGCTGATAGGTCATTTTGTGGTTTACTGTTCACAAGTGATCCTCACCAAGTAGGTCACGTAGTCGTTTGTGATTTTGCTGGCGTGGGTTTAGAATTGACCCTCCTGCTCCCACTGTCCTCTCCTGGTTTGTCTCCTGCTTCTGTGACTGCCTCTTCCTAAGCTTTTTATTTCAATTTCCCTCCTTCACCTGCCCCTTGCGTGTTGGGGATCCCTGGGTCTAGTTCTCACTCTGTTACTATTTAGCTACATGGAGCCTGATGGCCACATCTCACCACCTGTCAGATGTCTTCACTCGAATGTCCCACTGTCACTTTTTGTTGTTTTTTAAAATATTTATTTATTTATTTATTTATTTGGCTGCCCCAGGTCTTAGTTGCAGCACATGGGATCTTTGTTGCCACGTGCGGAATCTTCGTTGTGGCATGTGGGATCCTTTTTTTTTTTTTTTTTAAATGATAGTTGCGGCATGCGAACTCTTGGTTGCGGCATGCATGTGGGATCTAGTTCTCCGACCAGGGATTGAAATGGGCCCCCTGAATTGGGAGCACGGAGTCTCAGCCACTGGATCACCAGGGAAGTCCCCCCACTGTCACTTTAAACATGTCTTTTCCCACAAAAGCAGTTCTCACCCTCCCACCCCTGGCTCCACGCCCCTGGCACGTGGGCCGGGTACACGGCTGTCTGTTTATGACGCCCCTCTCATCCCGTCTGCCCATCGGCTACTGAGTACCAGCCATATCACTTTCTAAATACCTCTCTCCATTGTCCGTTTCTCTGCACTTCCTCAGTTCATGCTGCCTTCTGTCACCTAATCTAATCTGTCAGCCTCTGACTCTTTCTTCCTGCTTCCACCACTGGCCTCTTCAAATCCGTTATCCTCGTCTTGGACAAAAATCATCCTAACACGAATGTGATCCTCCTGCCCCCTTGATTGAAGCCTGTCCCTCTCTGCCCACTGCTCCAAGCAGATCACCCGCGGCTCTCGGGGCGCTGGTGTCGGGCCCCTGCGCACCCCTGTAGCCACAGCAGGCCCCGCACAGCTGCCCAGTGTTTCCCACACAGTCAGTGTTCTCTGCGTGGGAACCTTACTCTTCAGCCTCTGTCTTGCCTTCTGGGTTTTCTCCTTTGTCTCAATTCATCTATGCTTTTTCTCCATTGATAACACGAAGTGTGAGAACTTTCTAATATTTCTTGTATGTGTGAGGTTTCCGTTTTTTCATTATTAAAAAGCAGTTCATTGCTTGTCCGCTTATTTATCCGTGAGGATCAGCTGGAGGGATGGGCGTCTGATCTTTCTTGATTTTCCTTCCCAAAGGCAGCCAGTGTGGTCTGTTTGTTTTGTATTATCCCGGGAATGTTTTATGCATGTATGAGCAAATACAAGTATTCTTATATATCTAATATATGCAGTATTCCTTTACCTGGCTTTAGGGAGACTGGTTTGGGAAATGCAATTTCCTTCCAGCCAGATCCCACTAAAAAATATCTTTTATTTTTAAACCAAACACACTTACTTTTTTCTTTTCACA